TGGGTTTATAATTGATATTGGCATGTATAGAGGTGTTTGGATATTTTAAAGGAAAATATGGTTTTGGCTTCATGATTTTGGCATGTATAATAGGTGTTTGAATATTTTTAAGAAACCATGATTTTGGTTTCAAAATTGATTTTAACATGTAACAAGGTGTTTGAACATATTTTCATGAAACCATGGTTTTGACCTCCAAAATTGATTATTATTCATATCCAAACAAGCACTAACTAACTACTGGGCTAAGGTGTGATTTGAGTGAGAGTGTAAGAGAGAAGGGTTATGAGTTTCATATATTTTGGGTAGTTAGGGTTCAGAGAGGCTAGGCAATTAGTGAGTCTTGTTTGGGAGAGACTCAAGCCTCTCAAATGCTAAGAAGTGGTGTGCGTTGGACTTTGTCTCTATGTTTTGTGCTAATTTTCAGCTGTTTAATTCATACTCTAGCTGCGTTTGCTATCTTTTGAACATCATTCTTTACTTGGCAAGGCTCACTATGTATTATTTCACTAAACTTCTAATCAAACGGCAGGGTCTAAAACTCTGACTACAGCTAGTGTTGTTACATCACATTTACAGACATGGAAAACTATTGATATCCTGGTCATAATTATAACATAGAAATAGGCCAAAAAATGGAATTGAGAGAATTGGCAAGCAGTCATCCTATAACAAAAGAAAATGACAAGATAATGGAGTTTCCCATCAGAGATCCTCAAGTGACCCTTGGAGAATGTGAAAAAAGTCACTTATGGGAGAATTTAGGGAGTTATTTGTCCATCGAGGAAGAGCTAATTACTCAGATTCTTGAATTGTGATTGTGCAACCATGTTTTACTTTGATTCAACTGGGTTTTGTCAGTAACAAGTGGAAGTTTAAATATTCTCTTGCTAGAGAGAAATGTTATAATTACAAGTTGCCAATATCTCAATCTTGATACTAAGATTGCAGTCTTATGATCCTATTCATGGCAATCAATTCCAATCATATATAAGATCTAAAATCCACTTGAATCACATTAGGATTGCAATCCAGCCCATTCAATCCTATCTTGGAAACTTGCCTTTTATTTTTTTATTTTTTAAATCTTCTACAACAGTGTCCTCTGGCATAAAGAACTGGCTTGTTTAATGATGAATATTAATGTAACTACTACTTGGTAACTGTTTTTCCACTCCCTTCTCGTCAGAGTTTCTAACCTGACAAAGTTTCAGGGTTCCCTCATCCTAACCACTGGCTAAGTCCTGTCATATCCTTTCTTTACCTTATTTCATATTTCCTATCTTTCTATCGAATATCAAACTTGCTTTCTTTTCCATTTTGCGTTTTAGTGGTGTTAGGAGGAAAAAGGATTCAATGAGTTTTCATCCACTTAAATCACTCCAGCACTTATTTAAGCATGGTTGCAGTGCATTTTTACTTTGCTACCCTTCATCTTTTTCGTGAATGTTAACCAGCGTTTTTTTTTTCCCCTTTGATATCTCAACGATCAAATTAGGTCATTAAATGGCTTGCCAAATTAGGCAATACATCCCCTTAGGGGAGTCTCACAATTCGCCCTTGCTCAATCAAGAGTTAGCCAATAGTATATCGCTTTCTAATTCTGTTTTGTATTCTTGTATATGTTCAGATTCTGGTTTTCTATATCTATTAGTTTTCTTTTGTTTTGTTTTCTTCTGTGCTCTTTCATGTTGTTTTTCTACATTTTTCTGTAGTTTATGGTGTTCTGTTTTCAACAAAACTAAGTGTTGAATTGTACAGTAACAATGCCAGATCAAATAATCCATTAAATTTTTTTTCTAAACAAGAGAAAGATGTAAATGGCTATGATAGGTGTGATAAGGTCCTGTAGCGCAGCCTGCACAGGTGGGTGCTAGAAAAAAAAATCCTACAAAAAACAGACAGCTTCAGTAAAAAATTTACACTCAATCACTCTCAAATACACTTTAGAATAAATCCCATAGTGAAGCTTCATTTCAACTAATATTTCTAGCCATGCTACAGTTGGTCCATTACCACAAAGTTTAAATGCATGTGTCCAGAAAGTCTATGGACAAGGTAATTCAGAAGAACCATACAAACTCTTGATACAAAATTCTTTCCTCCTCAAATATGCATTTCTCATGCAAATTTAAACATCTTGGAAACAAACATAAAGCAATGCCCTCAAAGACTTTGCATTGCCTATCCAAATGGACTGAGCATAAACGTCTTGGAAGTAATGCCAAGCAAAGTAAAACAATCAACATTTTCTCCCTAAAGAGCCAATTCTCTAATCCCATCAGCAGAAAATGGAGGGAAAATCAAGAAAGAAAAAGGATATTCGATATAAGATTTGTTGGATCTCATAATCAGATATGACTATTCCAGAAGATACATATAAAGAAAGAAGTTTCAAACGGAGAGGCAAAAAACGCTTTTTTTTTTGGTAACATCGTCACCTTAACACACGACATGTCATATATCATGGTTGTGATTTTTAAAAAAAAAAGTGAAACCAAAAAATGTCAATTTTTTTTTTTTGCCAGAAAAAAAAAGTCAAATTCGAAAGCACTTTTTTTCTTGGAATTGGACGGCACGGCACCCATTTTATTTCTGTAAAAATGGGGGGAAATAGCAGTCATTATATTAGTGAATCTGCTTTCGTTAATTAAAAAAATTGCCATGTCTGGACAGCTCCTTTTTAGTAAAATCATATAAGAAGACAGACTCCGCAAAGCATTCATTCGATAGTCATTTGGAAACTCAACTCATATGCTGAGGAATTTTCTCTGGACCCTAGATAACACTTTGTTTCATAACCTCAGAAGCTAGCATAAATCGTCACAAATTTAGAGAACCAGCTTCGACTCTTTAAAAGAAAAAAAGCTACATCAAAACCGAAGAATTCATATGGTGGGAAATCATCCAAAATCACGATTACAGCCAGTCAAAAATGATAATTCATAGCCATAGAGAAGGTGAGCAGGCGGCAACAGACAGAAATGATGCGAAATTCAAAAGGAAAATTTTCTTCGTCATGTATCTCCATATAAACTCTTGCACGAAATCCCAAAGAAATAAAAAGAGAGAGAAATGTTGAGCAACTCAGTAGAAATGTTCAGAAATTACCTCTTTTCAGACACTGAAACCGAACCCGAAGGCAGCTGATGCTCGCCCAGGATCCACAGCAATATGCATTTCAAATAACCTATAACGGTCTAAACAAATTTGAATTCTGCAATTCAGTACCTTGAACTGAAACCCTAGAGTTTGATGTATCCCAGATCTAACGAACAATTTAATTGCGGAGACAATCTTTGAAGGAGCAACAATGATAGAACTAATGAATAAGTAAAATTACCTAGCAGGAGAGAGGGTGTAACGCTAAGCAACTTGAATCTGAGACGACTATCACCATGTACAATGACTAATCTGTAAAAAGGCTCGAGAAACTAAGAAGAATCTGTTTGCCACAAAATACTTGAGAAAAAGAAAATAGAAAAATACAAGGGAAAGTAAGTATGGAGCTGGTTATAAATAATTCCTTCTTTTCTCATTTATTGTTAACCCAAATGCACCTTTTTTTATAAGGAGTTGTAACCCAAACCTTAACCAGGGTTAAGTTTTAGCCCTTGAGTCTGGATTTGCTGCAAATGGTCAAATATTGCCCTGTCCATTATTAAAAAATACAACATTTTTTATAGTTTGATAACATTGTTCTAAAAATTTACAAATCTATGTGTAATTTTAAGTGCAACTGTACTTGTTAGTACAAGTAATATAATTCAAATTTTGAAGTTTGTATTTGCACGCACACACTTTTGAAAATTTTTCGCAAGATAAAATGGTGCAGTGGAAATTCAAGTGAAAATTTTAAACCTAATATAATCTTTTTTCCTTGTTACAATGACATCAAATATAACTGAAGTTGTCAGAGTCTTATGCTTTCTACCCTTTCCAGTCTTCCACGTGAGCGTCAAGTTGGTGAGATAGATCTGTGACCATTTTGATCCCTATATGCTATATACTTGGATTTGAGATAAAAAAACTGAATCCGTTCTGATACATTTTATCATAATTAATGACCGTTGCTTCATTCTTCTCCAAACGTTAAAAGTCTTGTAACCACTTAGCGGGATCTCAAATAATAAAATGGAGGGAGAATATATGTGAGTAGAGTATGACCAATGATTTCGAACCCTCTGCGTTCTAAAAACATTAAAGAGCCCACCATTAACCTCGATTAGTTCATACCTTCTCACTTGTGTAACATATTCTAACTTCTAACCAATTTTGCAAGTTCGTTCCATTTATTTCCATAGTTGACCAGTACAGTGGCTATATTTTTATCCATTTTATTTGACTCCATAATTGACCTTTTCTCAACAAGTGATCGATCACATCGTAAAACCTCTACACAATTCATTACTAACTTTGCTACTTAAATGATTCATTTCCGTTCATGTGCAATGTAAGTAAGACGCTAACTTTTGACTGAAATAAAATGCCATGGCCTAGATTTAATCCCACATTAAACTGCTCGTTAGATTGGCTTTATGCAGGTAAACGTTGTACGTCTAAGTCGCTCTATGAACTACCAAATCTCGAGACTTGAACACACCGGAACATGAAGTTACTGTTTACCGTGACCATGCATTACTATTTGAGCATATTACCGCGTTGAAAGTTGAAATTATTAGATAGATAATTCACAAGTAATTGGGAAAAATCTGTTGCTTCTACACAAATCAGTAGCCCACTAATTTCATGTGATGACCGAGCTTGGCATGAAAATACCGTACCCATTTTCCCTTCTAAATTAACATCGATTAGCCACGTTAGCTTTGAGGTGAAAACGAAAATGAATGAATGAATGAATATCTAGTCGGCCATGTTCGTCGCCCACTGTGGGGTAAAGTCAGCAAAAATGTGTCTCATTCGCACCATCCTCTGCGTTAAAGTGTGTAAATCCAACTTTGTTTAAAACCAACAAAAGGAGATAACTCCACTCACCAAAATAATGCAAGGTGCATTTATTGAATCAGGAGAAAAATACCAAACGGTGCCTCTACAAACCGTTGACTTGAAAACATATGAACAAATGCTGGAAAATCAGTTTCCAAGAGACCATGATTAGATATGCAGAGTGTGACTTAAGATTACAAAAGTAACGAATAAACAAATCGCAGGTTGGCATGCCCAGCAGCTACTAGCGCATGTGCATAGAGCCAAGCCCGTTGATCATTTAACTTTAAGACGTGCTGGATGCTAGCTGGATCCTGGACCTGATTCCTCAGAATTAGCTGGGTTTGCTTTCTCATGATGGAAGCGCACCACAATGCATGTAATGTTATCTGCACTGCCCCGACTAAAGGCGGCTTCAGTTAGCCTACGAGCAGCTGCTTCGGGTTCATCTTCAGCACGGGCAAGAGAAGCAGCGTCCTGTACAAAGATAGTATATCAGCAAAGATGTTAATGTGGGAATATAAAGAGAGCCATAACAACAGAGGAGGGGAAAGGGAGCTCACATCATTCGGCATTACATCCCATAGTCCATCACTTGCAAGTACCAGCAACTCCAGCTCTTCATCTATTACCTCTTCCTGAAAGTGGCGAAGAAATAGATAGAATGTCAACGTATTCTGGGTATCTAACTATTCCTTTGACATGCATACGTTCAAATGCAAAAACACAGCTGCAAGTAGCCACATAAAAATCCGATTAGTTTTTTTAAAGCATGGTATCTCTCACAAGATACAACCCAATCCCAGTTACATCCAAGTTCTTCATCTCTCATTGCAATTATTACATTCAATTCAATACCCGAATCTGAAACGGAGATAATAATTTTATTTTCTAGGGTATTTTAGAAAGTTAGTAGTTGCTGTCTGACTTTCCCAATGTACTCAAAATAAGCATCAAAGAAAGAAAAATAATTATTTTCGTGGATCATTTAGAGCAATCAATAAATTAACAGAAAAATTCAAAACATAATCAAGGTTCACCTGGATCTCAGGTTCTGCCACAACAAACTGCTTCAGCATACGGTTACCAAAAGCACGGGACATTGCTAGCACTCCTCCTACCCTCCAAGTACCTATCAGCATATAAACAAATGTTAATATCTGCTTCCATGAAATAACTAGTAAAACATATGACCATCCACAATATGCTAGATTTTATCAGAACACCCTCCACGTTGCCAATTCCATCTCTCGGATGACTGACCATATCCAAATGAGAAAGGATGTGCATATTAACCCAATGCCATATTTCTACTTCGTGTCTTTATTAACAAATCTGTCAGAAGACGTGGAAAATCTGATACATGGGAAAAATTCTTCCTGAAGCCCAGTATTTTTGAATCACTTCGTTACTGCTCAAGGACCACTTGAACAATTAAAAATGTGATCCACATCTTCTATCTGCTTGAAGCCAAAAATAATACACACACAACACACTATTAAGGAAAAGTAGCATTACCCCAGTGCAATGCATAAGATTCAAATCTAAATGCAGGCCTGTATACAATAAATCTACAAGAATTCTACAATGGCAAAAGATTGAGTTTTATTATAATATATTGATAATTAATAAAAGAGGACTCAGGTTAATGAGCTTTTATAACCTTCCATGTATCCACGTTATGTAGGATCAACAATCTATAGTGAACACACTATTTGGCACGTCAATCAGCCAAAACAAAATTCACCATGCGCAATATTATATATGATCGCTAATCTATGCTGAACATCTATTTGGCATATTTTTCAGCCAAAATAGCTCTCCGTGCAGATTATTACGTCAACAAACACTCCATTCCAATGTTCCAAGATAAGAAAAGTAAGTGCATCCAACATGAGACACCATATTAATTCGAAACTCAACATTGACCAAATATAACCTAAGGAAAATATCCATAAAATAGTTATCAGAGCCATTGCATGTTGTGCTTCCATGTGCTAGAAGCAAATTTTAAGTGTAACTAACTTGAACAATAATTTCTTTGTTTCAGATGACATGTATTACCTGCCCACATTATGACACCCCCAGCATTCTCAATTCTCTTCCGCTCATCAGATCTATTTGGTTTATGATCCTCAGAGAGTGCTATGGCTGTCAAACACAGAAGGACAAGATTAAGAGGTCCATATCATATACCAATATTTAACATGCATTCACACAAAGTAAATAGGAAAGTCAGTTAAAAAAGTAATAGCGGAATAATAGACAAGGAAACCGTTTTCAGAAATACTTTGATTTCCATGTAACCTCTATATTACAAATTTTATTTTCCAGCAATCACATCATTAAGAACTGAGAAGTCATATTTAACCAAATTTATATAAATTCATGAACTACTATAATCTACAGATATCAAAATACTAGGGCATCTCACCAACATAAGTTGGTAAAGAGGTGGCCCACAGCCCACAAGGTCATGGGATTAAGTTTCGCTGCCGATGTGAGAACCTTATTGATAGGCTATTTACAAGTACCTCTATAAATGCTTTTTGAGCTTAGAGACATGCCCTAACCCTAATGAGCCCTTGAGACCCAACTCACCTATAACTTTTATTATTATTATTATAACAATAGGGCATCTCAACAATACCTTTACCAGCTTTTGATATTATAGTCCTAGAATCTCCAACATTGGCAACATAGAGATGGTTATCAACCAAAACTGCAGTTGAAGCTGTAGAACCATCATCCCGGAAAGTATCCCTCTCAGAATCCAGAAAATCAGCATCAGTCTGTTGATAAGTTTCACCTGCAAGCTTACTTAAGTTACTACGATCACACAAAGGTGTGTTGGAAAATAATCCACATGCAGGAGCCCAAACCATGTACAAAAGAATCCATCTGTCATGAAGATTTCCACCAGTGTTGGATTCCCAAAGGCCAAAATGATAAACAACATATTTCTGATACAAGGAGTAGTGCATAACAGTAAAGAAAAAAGAGAATGAGAACACACTTATAGCCAATTTGGTATCAGTCAAAAATTTCGGATGCTTCATGAGGTTATTGAAGAGACGCTCCTTCAAATACTCAGCAGCACGGGAACCACCATGACCTGCATGAAAAATTGAAATAAAAATATTTAAAAATAATAATAATAAGCCAGCAGTAACAGTCATGTTATCATGATAACGAGACAGATGATTGTTTACAAACACTGATATTTTTAAGCAGATAAGCATGCACTCAAATAGCAATAAATACCGAACCTTAATTTTTATATTGTATCTTGACTTGCACTTCTGCTTTTGTTCTAGAGGAAATTAACCAATAATAACAACTTTTAGTCTTTGACTTTCAGACCTTCTGTGCTACAGACTTGCAACTTCATTTCTTGGGAAGATATCATCGTGCTTACCTCAAAGATATGTCTTTTTTTTTGGGGGGGGGGGAATTAAAATATCCAATTTTAATAAAGCATGTTATTTAATTTAATTACCCTGTGCAGTGTCCTGAATTCATGAGGTTATTCTGAGTTAGTGATCATGTCAATAGGTGTGACATGATAAAGTTTCAGCAATTACATGTGAGGCTAGACAATAGGGATAATCAGAATTGGCACAACTCAGCCCTATGCAAAATAATACAGAACCTATAAAATATCTACCAAGAAACAACTTGCATTGAGCTTGGAACCATGTAGGAAATTTGATTTTGTGAGGCAAGAAGAGGAGGAGGAGGAAGAGAAAGAAGAAATAAATATATCTCTCCCAAGCAAATCATGACAAAGGAAAATCTTACCATCAAATATTCCGAACAAGCATATGGATCGACCATCAATATTGGATATCTTGATATCATAGAAATCCTCCATGGTAACCCTTTTTCCTCTAAAGCTTGAATACCCACAGCTAAGTCTTCCATCTTCACTGCCGATAAAAAATGCAACTGCATAAGATTAATCTCATGACAAGTTAAAATGAAGTAAAGAATTGGACACGAGACCATAACCAGCCACTCAGGCATGTTAATATTAAAGATATGCATCGACTCCATTCATTAACTAAAAGCCCTAGAAAAATTTCATATCGAGTGGCCTGTTAGTCTAGACAAATGAAGATGAATTCAGTTGAGGAAAGTGCCACCCAAAAAAGGACCATATAAATTTAATCCCCATCATAAATTGATGCCCAAGATCCCATCAAAATTGAGGCTTCTGCTATAAAGACAAACGATGACCTTCTAATGGAATGACAACCCTTAATTCTGTCCTTTTCTTTCCTTTACTTTTTGTGCGAGTAAAGACCGAATCAACTGAGATAAGGTAAAAGAAAAATCAACAAGAATACCTTCGAAACGCTCAACAACGGAAATTGCAAATAAAATAATCACCTTTTCCACCCTCCACTGGCAAACCCACCGTCAGCATCTTTCTCTGGCAACATATCAACAATGGGTCCCGCTTTTGACATGGCACCTGTATTAACCATCATCCCTATGCTTGTCTTAAATCCACGATTCCACGAATAAGTAATGGAGGGAACTTTATGCAAACTTCTCACAATGTTGTAGAATTGCACTTTATTGGTGAAGGATCCAACTTGAACAACCAAAGACCTTATACAACTGCTGTAAACCATCTAAACGACTAAACTGGCAATTCAACGCCAATCTTGTGTAATTATCTGTCTAGCATTATACAGAAAATTACTATATCACACCAAAGATTCTCAGAGATAATTGAACACTACAGAGGGAGGAAAAAACCATTTTTAAATAAAAATGGACTAATTCACCAAGTAAATACTGAAAACGCAACGAAATGAGATCAGTCTCCCGTTACACATGTGCAAACCACTTACACAGCTACAAAACGGGAGTGAATTGTGCGAAAGTAATCATTATGCAAGCTATAAGACTCTCATGAAGTGCATTTAATCTCCTTAGCACGTTAAGAGGGGAGGGAGAAGAAGTAAACCGAATACGGCAAGAGAAGCAAGACTGAAGAGCATAAGAACCAAAATCCGTCGAATCTTACACTGTGTAAGCTACTGTAAACATTCAAGCAACCGATTAGAAGAGACTAGCGGACCGCCTTCAAAAGCAATTCAATGAGATATTCCCAGATAATAACGCATTTGTGGCCTGAATCAGAACGTTCAGCTGGGCGACGAACCGGATCGCATCAAATGAGCCAAAAAAGACATTGATTCCGACCAAAGGGATGATTCGAATCTAGAAAGCGTTGAAAAGTTATAGGAATCAACGAACAGTCACTAAACGGGAATCTGAAACCCTAATAAGATAGTTTCAGGGAACGAGATTGGCAAAATCAGGAGAAAGTGAGGAGATGGCTTTTTGAGTGAACTTCATGGCCGAAGAGTGATGGCAACGTGGCAGAGTGCTAGTCTTCTTGCATTTTATTGTGTGCTTGTGCTATCCTCTACTCCCCCAGCTTCGGTGTAGCCTTCTTCTTTCCAATCACAGCGTGCCACGTCATATCTCTCACCCTGGCTCTCCCACCGGAGGATTTTCCCCGAGCAATTCCACCCTCGAATTCTACACTCATAGCGTTAATTTTCTTCATTCGTTTATAATTACAATTATATAATTTTTAACTGAAAGCACGCCACGTTACATATCAACAACAGCTACAGCACATCGAATGGGGAGGGGAGTCTCTTCTTTTTCTTTCCCTCCATCTCTCCTCACTTCCCCAATTTTCACTATTTATATTATTTTATTAAATATATTTTAAAATTATAAAATTAATGAAAGATAAAGATTAGAGAAGTGACCAAAAAAAACAGAGAGACTCTTCTTCCAAAAGGTGGGAACTCGTCTAGTCTTGCTCCTAATGTTGGTATGTAAATTTGAGTCAATTTATCTTATTAAATTAGTAAAATGTTAACTTTTCAATGTCTTAACTAATTTAATAAAATATTTTATTTATGATTGATTTGATCATAATTAGATCATGATTTTAATTATTAATTTTTGAATCAAAATCTTTATCAATTTGACTTTTATAATACCTTGCTAATAACTACAAGAGAGCTGGGACAAGCTCAAAATAAAAGTTTCATAATACCAAAAAAAATAGTTATTTGATTCTTATAATTTTAATTTAATTATAATTTAATTCATAAAATTTGATTTAATTTAACTTGATTCTTATAATTTTCACTAAATTGTAATTTAATTTCTAAAGCTTAATTTATAGTAATTCAATCTTTATAATTAAATGTTTTAAAATATTGTTTTTATATCTTAGAAAAAAATTGCAAACAATTAAGTTATTTCTCGAAAATTAGAATCTAATATTTTTAATAGTTAAAATTATAAAAACTGAATTGTACTAAATTAAAATTTAAGGATTGATTTACAATTAAATTAAATTATTAAAGCTAAATTGCATGGAGTTAAAAATTAAAGATCGGTCGATAACAAATCTATATCCACCAAATAAGAATAACACCTGCTGCGTCTTTATTCAATGGGAAAGTCATTATAAAATCACATAGAAACATTTTAATTACTTGAAAGTCTCACCAAATATATGTAAGGGTGTGTTTGGATTTTATAGGGTGTAATTGATTATAGAAAAAATTAATTAACATGATAAATTTTAATTATAATTGAATATATTATAACATGATGGTATTTAGATTATACTTTTTAGAATTTATTTTGATAAAATTAAAAATATTTGAATGATTTTAATCAAAATTAATTTTTGACATGTAAATTATTATAAAGGACATAAATTTTTGGGTTGAGAAGTCCTAAAAAAAACTTGGTTGTAAATAAAATTTAGGAAAAATTATCCAAAAAAACTTCACTAGATCTATTTTGCTAAGAAGGACTTGAGATATTGGGTTCATTGCTGGCATTAAATGGAAGTTACAAAAGACTAAAATGCCCTTTATAAATTCTCTCCCTCTCCAGCTATCGTGCAATCGTTTTGGCTTTGTGATTTTGATGGCAACGATGAGTAAGGAGTGCGATTCCAATAGTGACAATAACAAAGGATCTCAAAACATTGTTGACGACAAAGAATTACACCACTAATCTTGCAGCAGCGACGGATGATTCACTCACCCCTCCCTCTTATCTCGTTAGTTTTTTTTACTTAGACTGTGCTTCTCACATTACGTTATTTGTGGTTGTTGCCTACTTCATTCTTTTTAGTCAACTACTTTGGTAAAGAAGGCGATCAACTACCTCTACAATGGAAGCGCTAGAGGATGATTGAGGGAAAGGGTAGGTCACTGCCTCATACCTCTACAATAGACTCTTATTGTTACCGTCTTTAACGTCCTTATCACTTTGTGAGTAGAAGTTTGCTTTTTCACCCCCCAATACCTTTAATCATCTTTTGAATTAAAATTTTATGTTTAATGATTTAAAGCAAATCAATTATGGAAATTGTTTGTAGATGGATTTAAATCTTAGTTCATTTTGAAGATTAGGATGCATGAGAAAGTTCATCACTTTTCATTATTCTATTACTCTTTGACTATTTAAAATTTTAGATTGAAATATACCCTTCTCATATGTTTAAGCTTGAATCTTTAGTTATAACAAATCCTCTAGCTTAAAGTCGCATAATGGATTTCTTAGTGTTACTTCCTTAGTTTTTATATATGAGTATTACTTCCTTTCCGTACTTTCAGCATGATGGATTGGTTTACTTTGCTTTGTCTTTGTTAAATTGAATATTGAAGTTCTCCTTACATGACTTGCTATGCTATCTCATTTTGGCTTTTTCATTGTAAGTTCTTTGACTTGTTTTACAATATCAAGTTTGCAATCAAAAGGTGAAAAATTTAAAGTCTTGCTCACCTTTTTTGTATATGCTTTTAAATTAAATTACATATCGGATACAAGCAGGATATTTTAAATCTATACACATGCATATACAAGTAGGATGCAATCAAGGTGAGTATATAACCATTATTTTAAATTTTTCATAATTTACTAGGACTGTAAACTAGGTATGACTTTAACTTTAAAAATAAATTTTCTCAAACTAATTACCTCTAGCCTGGGATATAAACAAAACAAAGGACCTTGAGGGTAGGAAGAGCTGCTTCCAAAAGTGGTTTAAGAAATAACATCACCAGTCATGCTTTAAATGAAAGGCCACACATCTATCTTGCAATAGCCCCTTTCATTTTCAATCACCAATCTAAACCATCTCTTTACCATTTCATTTCAACTCTCATAGAATGATGGTAACATTAGCTATCACAAACTTAAGCTTTGAATCACATAGCTCTCACAAACATGATTACCAACAATTAGAAGGTAAACTATCCTTCTAATAATTGATCAATTTCAATTTTGTCATTCATTTTTTTTTAATTATAATTGAGATCAAGAGCTAACAAAGCTTAAAAACTAATCAAAAAGGAGACCCCTTATCATCATCCACCACTTTCAAATAACAAGGTGGGGGTTAATCAAAAGATAAATACTCTCCTACTTTATCCCAAGCAAATTTAGCCAAAAAATGAGCACAACCCTAAACATAAAGTTCACAAATATATCTCAATCTTTATGAAAAAGAGATTGAGCTTGAATAATAATATCAGCATGGGGATAAAAGTCAAATTTTGTCATTCATTACAACTTTCTTTATAATGTTTCCAGTGCATTTGGCATAATAAGACTTGGAGAAGAAAGAAGTATTGCAAATTTGAGAGAATCAAGAGGTAAGGATAAAGTAGTAGAAGAAGGTGGCAATGTTGGAGAAGAAGGTGGCAATGTTGGAGAAGAATGAGGTGAGGATGAATAGATTAGTAGTATTGTTAGGATAAGTCTTTTGTAAATGTTCACATCCATTAAATTATTTTCATTTCTGAAGTATGCATCATTGTGTGCATGCACATTTAAGACTATAAAATTTCACCTTTTATAAATCTTATTTGTTTGCATATTCAATTTCTTGCTTCAGGTGTTATTTTGCTTATGAGTAAATATTTGTTGGTGTTCAATTTTTTTGCTACTTGGAATGTAAAAGTAGATTTATTTTAAACTCAAAGTAAAGTGTAAAACATGAAACATGCATTATGTTAATGTAAAGGGATAAAGTTGTTTGATGTATGAGTTGTTCCTGAACAATCTTTTACTTCTAACACTTGGTTTTCATAAAAGCAAAATAGATTTTCATGAAAAATGAGCAAATCTTTTAAAATATTCATTTGCATTTTTAGAATATCCTTCGGTATTTTCATGAAAAAAGAGAAAAATTTAAGAATATCCATTCGTATTTTCAGAATATCCATATACATTTTTTGAATTTCAATTTGCATTTTTATAATATACATTTGTGATATCTTGAAAACACGACATTATTAATGCAATATTCAAACCCTAACTGTAAGCCATATTCAAATATGCATTTTGGATACCTTGACAATGTAAGTTTTCTTCAAGTTATTCGAATTACCATTTTGGATATTCGAATACCACTTTAAAGAATTACAAATAGGCTTTCATTTATTGGAATATGTAAAAGTGTTGTTTGAATATATGAAAGATATTTATATTTTGTTGAAGATCAATCGCATATTGAGGAACAAATATTGCATATGCTTTCAAAGATATTCATAAGGGAAACTACTAAGTGATATTCGAATATGCAAAAGTGTTAGCCAAATATGTGGAAGCAATCTATATTTCATTGAAGATATTTACATTTTGTTGAAGATCAGTCACATATTGATGAAGAAAGATTGCATATAATTCCAAAAGTATCCATAAGAGAAACTAATGAATGATATTTGAATATACGAAAGTGTTATTTAAATATGTGAAAAAAATTTACATTTCATTGAAGATCAGTCACATATTGAAGAAGAAAGATTGCATATATTTTCAAAAATATCCATAAAGAAAATTAATGAGAGATATTCGAATATACAAAAGTATTATTTGAATATGTAGATGAAATTTGTATTTCATTGAAGATTGGCAACATATTGAGGAAGAAAGATTGTATATGCTTTCAAAAATATCTATAAAGAAAAATTAATGAGTGATATTTAAATATGTAAAAATGTTATTCGAATAAATGAAAGTTTTCTTGCACATAATTGAAATTAAAATGTATATGGTGGAAGAATTGCTGCATATGATTAAAGACTCCTGCTTCTAGTATTTCAAAATGTTTTTAAGTTAAACATTTTTAGAATATCAAAAGATGTTATTTGAATAAATGGAGTTTTGCTGCATATAATGGAAATTTCAATGCATATAGTGAAAGAATCATTGCGTATGATTGAAGACCCTTACATTTGGCCTTTTTTAACACATTAACATTGAAGGACCTTGTATTAAGTACTAATATGAAATTATTGACAAGAAAGGATGTAATATCCTAAATTTTTAATTATAAAA